CCGCCGAGGCCCGTTTGGGCCGGTGGCGACACCATGCATCAGGGTCTATGGCAGAGAGTTAGCACCATGGCCGTGATCCTAGCGCTAGAGCGGTGGAAAAAACTAAGTTTAATGGGGAGTTCCAGGAAGTTGGCACCTTGACGCTAGAATTGGAGCTTGAGCGGTGGAAGTTTAACACTTAAACATATTGTGTCCGAGACTAGGCGCTATGGCTGTGAGTTCTAGCGCCACAACGGTGAGAATTGAGTTGCAAATGTAGCTTGGCAGAGACTTGGCGCTAAGGCTATGAGCTGGGCGCTGGAGTGGTGGAACTTAAAATTCACAACAAAAGCAAAGCAGAGAAATGGCGCTAAAGCGCTAGACTCGACACTGTAGCTGTGGGTCTTAGAATTAAAATTTTGAACTCCCACTTTCCATTTAAAACAATAGAGATTGATGATAAGAGAGCCACGTTCAAAATCATATTCAAAGCCACTGGTGCCACTCTGAATAAACAAGGTGCCTAATGAATGTGATTTACTTCCTAAGGCATGAGATCTAGGGAATCCCTTGGAAACTACTAAATCAAGTTCTTTATTTAACTTCTCCACAATTCCCTTTCTAACACCAATGTCAAACAGCACAATCACTATAAAGCATAATCATAATAGTAGCTTGCATAAAAATAGGCATCAAACATTTCAGCCAAAGTCACCACTCCTAGTAAACACCATCAGCAACACCTCTTGAAGTCAAATATGAAATTCAAAACTCAACACACAAACTCTACTACCAAAACAAAACATCAAAATAATCACAAACCTAAAACTCAACATGCTACACAATCGCTCTAAAGCATCAAAATAACACAAACAGAACTTCAACAAGATCAACAATCTTACATATTCTAAACATTCCAATCATTAAGCAACATTCAGTCTAAAATCAAGCAATTTTATGAACCAAAAACTCTTTACTACATACTATTTAACACAAAACTCAAAATTTTAAGCTAACAGTTAAACAAAACATGCTAATTTAATGTCTTTAGCTTGACAATTCCTGTATGATCATGGCTCCTTCAGATGAGGAATGGTGGTGAGTCTTTCAACCTCGCCCCCCAAATAGTGTTTGAACCTTTGACCATTCACTTCCTAGGTCCTTCCAGTGGCAGGATCTTCAAGTTCAGTTGCTCTATATGATTTGACAGATTTAATTGAGAAAGGGCCTGACCACTTAGATTTGAGTTTTTCAAGAAACAGTTTCAACCTGGAATTAAACAGCAAAACTTGTTGGTCAGGTTGGAAGTTCCTGTTCAGAATTTTCTTGTCATGGTATAGCTTAGCTTTGTGCTTGTAAGATCTAGAAGACTCATAGGCTTGCAACCTCATTTCTTCCAATTCATGCAATTGAAGCTTTCTTTTCTCCCCTGCTGCCTTCGAATCATAATTTAAGGCCTTCAAAGCCCAAAATACTTTATGTTCCAATTCAACTAGCAGATGACAAGCCTTACCATAGACAAGCTGAAATGGTGAGAACCTAATAGGAGACTTGAATGCAGTCCTATAGGCCCATAATGTATCATCTAACTTCAAAGCCCAATCCTTCCTAGAACTGGCTACTGTCTTCTTCAGGATTCTCTTCAATTCTCTGTTGGATACCTCAGCTTGCCCATTGGTTTAAGGATGATACGACGTATCTACTTTGTGCCTTACAATGTAGTGCCCCAGAACTTTTTGCAATTGAGCATTGCAAAAATGAGATCCACCATCACTAATGAGTACCCATGGTGATCCAAACCTGCAAAAAATATTTTTCTTCAAAAATTTTATGATAGTTCTGGCGTCAACTTTCTACACAGCACTAGCCTCCACCCATTTTGTAACGTAATCAACTGCCACAAGGATGTATTCATTCCCAAAAGATAATGGCAAAGGCCCAATGAAATCAATCCCCCAACAATAAAAAATTTTTACTTCCAAGATGTTTTGCAGGGGTAACTCATGTCTCTTGAAAATTGTCCCTGTTCTTTGACACTTATCACAGCTCTTGCAATCTTTGAACAAGGTTGGCGAATAAAATCCGGATTAGAGAACCTTTGCTGCTGTTCTTTCTCCATTATAATGCCCTCCATAGGGTGAGTTATCATAATGCTAGAGAATATCTCTAATCTCAGCCCCAGAGACACACCTCCTTAATAGACCATCAACACTTATCTTAAACAGATACGAATCATCCTAGACATAGTAATTAGAATCTCTAAAGAACTTCTTCCTTTGTTGCCAGTTATACTATTCCGGAACAACCCCTGCTGCTTTGTAATTTTCCATATCAGCAAATCAGGGTGTTTCACTCACTGCAAACATCTTTTCAACAGGAAAGTCTTCTAAGATTTCTTCTTCTTGACTAGTCACCTGCTCATTGACAAGTCTTGATAGGTGATCAGCAACATGATTCTCACACCCTTTTTTGTCTTTGATTTCTTAATCAAACTCTTGTAACAGAAGAATCCATCGGATCAATCTAGGCTTTGAATCTGCTTTTGTCAACAAATACTTGATAGCAACATGGTCAGTGTAAACAGTGATCTTTAAACCCACAAGGTAAGAACAAATTTTTTCTAATGCATACACTATGGAAAGTAACTCATTTTCAGTTGTTGCATAGTTAATTTGATTTTCATTCAACACTTTACTTGCATAGTGAATAACATGAAAAATTTTATCCTTCCTTTGGCCCAAAGCAGCTCCTATAGCATAATCACTAGCATCACCAATTAATTCAAAATCAAGTTTCCAATCAGGAGCTATGATTATAGGAGCTGAAACAAGCTTACTTTTTAATAGTTCAAAAGCCTGTAAACAATCATGATCAAAATCAAACTTGTTATTTTTAAGAAGAAGGCTACTGAGAGGCTTAGCTATCTTGGAGAAATCTTTTATGAATCTTCTATAGAATCCTGCATGCCTTAAGAAGCTTCTGATCCCCTTCACGTTGATTGGTGGTGGCAGCTTTGAGATGATATCAATCTTGGCTGGATCTACCTCTATGCCCTACTGAGAGACTTTGTGGCCAAGAAAAATGCCCTCTCTGACCATGAAGTGACATTTCTCCCAGTTCAGCACCAAATTAGTCTCTACACACCTCTTGAGAACAATGTTGAGATTTTCAAGGCAAACTTTAAAGGACGAGCCAAACACGGAGAAATCATCCATGAAGATTTCTATGCATTGCTCCACCAGGTCAGAAAAAATTGCAAACATGCAACGCTGAAAGGTAGCTAGTGCATTACACAATCCAAATGGCATTTTCCTATGCACAAATACACCAAAGGAACAAGTAAAAGCTGTCTTCTCTTGGTCTTCCGGATCCACAACAATCTGATTGTAACCTGAGTAAACATCCAGAAAATAATAGAAAGCTTGCCTTGCTAACCTTTCAAGCATTTGATCCATGAAAGAAAATGGGTAGTGATCTTTTCTTGTGGCTTGGTTCAACTTCCTGTAGTCTATACACATCCTCTACCCAGTTATAGTACGAGTGGGAATCAATTCGTTCTTCTCATTATAAATCACATTCATACCTCCTTTCTTACGCACGACCTGAATAGGACTAACCCAAGCACTGCCAGAAATAGGATAAATCATACCAGCCTCAAGTAGCTTGGTCACCTCTTTTCTCACCACCTCTTTCATTGTTGGATTCAAGCGTCTCTAAGGTTGGGCTACTGGTTTATAATCCTGCTCCATATGAATCTTGTGCATACAATAAGACGAACTAATCCCTTTCAAATCAGATAGGGTCCAACCAATAACACCTTCATTGGCTTTTATCACTTGAATCAATTTATCCTCTTGCTCATTTGAAAGCTGGCTACAGATTATGATTGGCTTCCCACCATTTTCTTCTAAGAAGACATACTTTAATTGTGGTGGAAATTTCTTCAATTCCAGCTTCACTGTCTGATCTTTTTCTTCCTTCTTCAATTCTTCCTTTTACTTAACATTTTTTGATGATCTTTCACCTTTATTCAATGCATCAACCACATCCTGAACTTCCTTATCTATGACTTTATCCAACTCTTCATCAAACATAGACAAAGCTTTCTCCAATGGTGAGACATTCTTGAAATTGCCTTGAGTTTCCAGATACACGTCATCTAATACATCAATTCTGAAACAATCTTTATTGCCCTTGGGAAACTTCATTGCTTCAAAGACATTGAAATTCACCTCATCATCTTGAACTCTCACCTTCAGCTTTCCATCATCCATGTCAATAATAACTCTAGCTGTCTTCATAAGGGTCTGCCCAAAATCAAAGGAACCTCAACGTCCTCCTCCATGTCCATGACTACGAAATCAACGGGAAACATGAACTTATCAACCTTTACTATCATATCTTCCACTATGCCATGTGGAAACTTGATGGATCTGTCTGCCAACTGCAAGGTCATTCTTTTAGGTCTTACTTCCACTTCTCCAATCTTCTTCAGCATGGATAAGGGCATTAAATTAATATTGGCTCCAAGGTCTAACAGTGCCTTACCCACTGATAAATTGCTAATTGATACCGGGAGAGTGAAACTGCCTGGATCTCTGGACTTTTGAGGTAGAGACTTCTGTATAATAGCACTGCATCCTGCCTCGAGCTCCATAGTCTCTTCTTCAAGGACTTTTCTCTTCGTAGTTAACAATTCCTTCATGAACCTAGCATAAGTGGGCATTTGCTCCATGGCTTCAGTGAAGGGAATATTTATCTGGAGCTTCTTTATGATATCCAGAAATCTTAAGAACTGCCTTTCTTTTTCTTTCTTAGAAGGAGCATGAGGGTAAGGTAAGTTTCTTACAAGAACAGTTGAAATGACTTCCTTGCCCTTCTTTTTCTTGTTCTCCTTCTCCTCTCCATTTTTTTCTTTTATTTTCTCACTATCTACACTCTCATTTTTATTTATTTCCTCCTCATTCTTCTCACTCTCTTCCTTAACCTCCCTCAATTCAACATTTTCCTTCCTTTCATTTTTCTCATTTTTCTCACTCACTCCAACATCTCCACCAACTACCTTCCCACTTCTTGTTGTTATTTCTTGGAAATGCTCCTTGGGGTTGGTCTTGGTGTTGGCTGAAAATGGGCCTCCAGACATGTCAGCTAATTGTTTAGCTAGCTGACCTACCTGTACTTCCAAATTCTTGATGGAAGCCTCAGTATTCTTCAAGTTGTTCATAGACACTTGCATGAACTGGTTCAGAGTCTCCTCCAATTTACTATTTTTTTCATGCATAGAGGGATACACAGGCTGTTGTTGCTGTGGTTGTTGTGGTGGTGGCCTATTGGATGGTCCAGCTTCATTCCTCCATCCATATCCTTGGTTGTTGTTGTTTCTACAACCTTGATTCCCCTGCATGTAATTGTTAGTATTATAATTACGGGAATTAAAATTACCTTCTTTCTATTGGTTTCCCACATAGTTGACCTCTTCTTCATTTGAGTTCTTAGAACAGTGACCATTGGGATGTTCTCCCCCACAAAAATCACATTTTAAAGAAGCATTTGATTGAGCTAGGGAAGAAGCAATAACATGAAGCTGTTGTGGTCTTTTGGCCATCTTCTTAGTTAGTGCTTCAATCTGTTGAGATAACAACTTGTTTTGAGCAAGGATTGCATCACTTGTACTTAGATCAAGAACTCCTGTTTTATGAGATTGGTGTCTTCCATGCTCTGCTTGGTGATCAGAAGATGCCAAAGATTCTATAATTTGGGTAGCTTCTTCTGGGCTCACAGTCATCATGGTGCCACTAGCTGCTGCATCCAATAACATCTTCACCTCAGGCTTGATTCCATTAATAAAGAAGTTAAGTTGAGCTATATCCTCAAACCCGTGGTTAGGACATTTTCTAAGCAATGACTTAAATCTCTCCCAAGCTTCACAAAATGGCTCGTTTGCACCTTGCCTGAAAGTTGTGATTTCTGATTTGGCCTTAATATAGTTGGAAGATGGATAGAATCTATTCACAAACTTGTTTTTCACATCACCCCAGCTTGTCAAACTTTGATTAAGGTGAGATTGTAACCAAACTTTAGCTTTTCCTGTTAGAGAAAATGGAAACAACCTCAAGTATACAACTTCCTCATCACCTTCAGGAATTCCCATAGTTCCACATAGCTCATAGAAATTTGACAGGTGTGAGTATGGGTCTTCATGATCTAGGCCAGCAAATTGTTGTGAGCTAACCAAAGTAAGGAAGGCAGGCTTCATCTCCATAACTCTAGAAGTATTTGGAGCTGCTATATTGGAGAAATGCCTAGGACCATGTTGTTGTGCGTAATCACCTAGGGTCCTTCTTGGAGGTCTGGTTGGTCCATGTCCACCATTATGAGTTCCTAATCCCTCTTCAACCATCTCTAATTCAAGGAATGATTGATTTGATGAAGTAGAAGAACTCGAAAGATCTTGCTATTATTTTTGGAGTCTCTCTAACTGTCTAAGCCTTCTTGTCCTACTGTTGTTCCTCCTTGTCGTTCTTTCAATTTCAGGGTCAAAATGTAATTCCTCGGATGGAGTTTTCCCTCGCATACAATTTCAAGAGGTCTGCACAGCAAGGTGAGTCCACAAAACACAACAAGACAAATGTATCTATATATTATAAATATTCACAGAATGAATTATTTACACAATTACAAAATCACAAGAACAAGAATTACTAAATTGCACCAAATCCTCGGCAACGGTGCCAGAAACTTGATGAGGTTTTGATAACAAACCACTTGGCAAGCGGACCAAGTTTCATTGTAGAAATACAGTATCATCCTCAAGGATTTGGGAGTTCAGTAATTCCTACTCTAATGATTAATAAAAGAGACGTTGATGAGGTTAGTATTGAACTAATGTGAAGTAAAATTGAAACGATTGTGTGAAAAATATAAGAACAATTATATGAAACAAGGGTTGGACCCAGGAGCACTTCCTAACTCTCAAATTTTCTTAAAATAAATATGATTTCAATTTCATTACCTCCACGTTCATTTAGTAATCCAACAAGATTCCTCAAAGTCGAATCCTAAAGTGATTAATCTAAAACATGATTCCTCTATGTTTGAGACTAACACTTTGCATTAAGAACAATGACTTGAACACAAGTGACTAACCATATCAAGTCTATCCCTAGAACAAGAGATGGTTAGGTGCAAGATACAGTTCAGGTTTTCAAAAACGTTTTCCAACAGGATTCAAAAACCAAATATTCATACAACGGTTGATCAAGCCGATATAAGCATTAAAAGTAGAATCAAGCACAAGCAATGAAAATGAAATGCATATATAGATTCAAGAAATAGAGGAGTTAGTAGTTACACTAGGACCAATCCTCAATGGGTTCAGCCACACATGGCCATTATAAGATAAGAGAAGTGAAAGAAGGGATTACAAAGTAGAAAATGAAGAAAAGAGGTTGATCTTTGTTCCCAAAGGATCCAACTTCCAAGTCTTCGTTCTTGCCTTGTTTTCTCCTCTTCGTGTGCTCCAAATCTTGCTTCTTTATCTGTTTTCGTCATGCCCCCTGTTTTCTCGATTTCCCCTTTTATATGAGCTTTAAAACAAGGGAAAAAAAGATTTTTCCTCCCACAGCTGCAGCTGTAAATCCACAGCTATAGTTGTGGAGAGTCCTTCAGGGTGAAGAATCCTCCAACGCTGCAACTGTGGTTTCGTAGCCATAGCTGTGGAAAATCCTTTAAGCTTAAGGAACCTCCAGCGCTGCAGTAGTGAAGCCACAACTATGGTCTTGGATCTCTGGAACTTTTGCTAGGTCCTGGGTGCTCCATGGCTTTAGTTGTGAGTCCGCAGCTTTAGCTTCAAATCTCTAGAACTTCAAAATTGCAATCCAGATTTCCACAGCTATAGCTGCAGAACCACAACTATAGCTACAATTTTCTGACCTCCTAATTCCTTCCCAGATTTCCACAGCTCGAGCTCCAGATCTACAGCTATGGCCGTGGATCTCTGCCTTCTCAAATTTTCTGCACAAATGGAGGGAATTCATTAAGATTTTGCTACTACTCTTCTACCCTTTTAGTATAACTTGATTCTTCCAATTTAGGGGGTAAAATAACATATATAAATATCTACAATTACCAAAAAGAGTACCAAAAGTTGAGTGTAAATGAAGAGTAAAAGAAACTCAACAACATCGGCCCCAACATTTTGCTTACCTGGATTATATTCAATAACAAAATCATAACCCATAAGCTTGTGCACCTACTATTGTTGCTTCGAAGTTTGCAATATCTGATCCATTAAAGGGTGCAAACTCTTATGGTCAGTACGAATGATAAAGCAATGTCCCAACAAGTAATGGCAAAATTTAGCAACCGCCTCCATTATTGCCAACATCTCAAAACATAAGTAGATTTAGACTGCATTCTATGAGAAAACATTTTAGAGAAAAAAGCAATAAGGTGTCCTTGTTGACTAAGAAAATCACCAATACCTGCTTTTGAGGCATCTGTCTCTAATTCAAATGGAATTGAAAAATTAGGAAGCACCAAAATAGATGCTTGTGTCATAGCACGTTTCAGATTGTCAAAAGCAACCTGAGTTGTATCAAACCACAGAAAAACATCATTTTTTTAATAAATCCTGCAAAGGAGAGGCTAATGAAGCATAACCTTTAATGAAACAATGATAGTAACTTGTGAGACCAAGGAGACCTCTAAGTTGCTTAAGAGCGGTCGGAACTAGCCACTAAAGGACCGATTCAACCTTATCAAGATCCATATGCACGCCTGAAGAGGAAACCATATGACCCAAATAAGTAATATGTTGTGTACCAAAAGCACATTTTGACAATTTAGCATGGAGTTGTTGCTCTTGCATAATAGACAATACCTTCTCTAAATGTTGCAAATGATCCAACCAAGATGCACTGTAAATTAGTATATCATCAAAAAACACCAAAACGAACTTGCGCAAAAAATCCTGAAATATCTTATTCATAAGTCTGAAAGGAAGTTGGAGCATTTGTAAGACCAAATGGCATCACCAACCATTCATAATGGCCTTGACGTGTGCAAAAAGATATTTTATGACGGTCTTCTGGTTTAACAAGCAACTGATGATAACCATAAAACAAGTTCAATTTAGAAAAGTAACAAGCACCATGTAATTCATCCAATAATTCATCAACAATAGGAATTGGAAAACAACCTTTAACTGTCATAGCATTTAAGGCCCTGTAATTTGTATAAAATTGCCACAACCCATCCTTCTTTTTTACCAAAATCACTAGAAATGAAAAAGGACTTGTACTATGTTGAATAAGCCCTTCCTGTAATAATTCACGAACAATCTTCTCGATCTCAGTCTTATAACTAAAAGGATACGGATAAGGCCTCACTTTCACTAGAAGAACATTCAGTAACAATGAAATTGCATGATCATGACTCCGCTACGATGGAAAACCATGAGATATGGTAAATACTAAAAGGAAATGTTGAAGGATAACCAATATGTCATAAGGCAGTTTCGAAACCAAATGGAGTAAAGGATCCTCTACATTAGAAGACATATGTGGCTGTAATTTAAAAACTGTTGAGATCGCATCAATATGATGAAGGCGACAATGGTGATGGTATTGCATTTGAGTAACAGAAGTCGACCTTTGAGAATCTCCTTGAAGCGTGACAAACTCTGGCCCATCAAAGAACTTAATTGTAAGTGTGTTATAATCTACCACATGAGCCCCCAATGTCGACAACTAAGAAGCGCCAAGAATTATTTCTGCACCTGAAACTAGTAAAAGAAAAGCAGATAAATGAATTGTATGACCCTGAATGGAAAGTGGAACCTATCTGATTCGAGCTTCACATGACAAGTAATGCTCGTTGCCCACCAAAACCTTGAAATCAAGTGCATGTCCAATTGGAAGTTGAAGAAATTTTGCCAATTGAGGTTGAATAAAATTATTTGAAGGCCCACTGTCAAGTAGAACCTGAACTTCATGCCCAAATAGTAACCCACGAAAACGCAAAGTACCCGGACCAAAAGCACCATGAAAAGTGCTATGAGATAAGTGATGAAATTCTGCCAGTGACTCTTCAACAATCGGAATAGAATCATCACACTGAATAAGTGGCGAAGTTTCTTGCGGCAAGTCATCTTCTTGGAGAAGAAATAAAAATTGACGATCTGGGTAGCGATGGTTAGGTGTAAATTTCTCATTACACGTATAAAAAAGGTCGCGGTCTCGTCAAATCTGCATCTCAGTGGCGGTCATGCACTTTACGAAATTAGAAGAAATGGGTGCTGGTAAAGCCTACATTTTTTACGTTGGAAACAAACCTGGCGTCGATGAATTTTGTAATGAAGGCAGAGGGGAATTAATCTGGTTTTGCGTCAAAGCCATAAAACGGTTCTTGGAATAGTGCGGAGTTGGTGTGGGCTTAGCATCATACAATTTTGCTAACACCACCGCCCTAACCAAAGAATTTGGCAATTAAACCATAACTTCCCTCTTTACATTTGATTTGAGACCACTGATAAAACAATCCAGTAATGCGGCATCAATTAGGCCTTCTACGTGATTCGCCAAGAAAGAAAATTTATGATAATAATTCTGGACTGAATCAATCTATTGAAGCTTAAATAAGGCCGCATGAGGCGAGTCTAATGGAGAAGGACCAAAATGCGCTTCAATTTCTTGCACAAGAGCCCAATTGGGAAGGAGATTCATCTTTTGAAGCATTTGAAACCAAGGACTGACATCTCCTTCCATATGGATAGCAGCGATGGCCAACCGTTGTGGTCCCGATGTTTGATATAGTAAAGAACTATTCCATGCGAAATAACCAATTGAGTGGTTCGGAGCCATCGAATTTATGGAAATCCAACTTCATAGAGTGAATAGGCAAATTATTATTCGAAACCCCTCAAGCAACATCCGTACGACCCACACGTTCCAAATTACATGAAATTATGTGAATGGAACCATTCGTGAAGGATCGTGAGATGTCATAAAGGAGTTCAATTTTTGCTCCAACATATCAATACGTAAAGAACTTGCTTGTTGAACCATAACATGCTCTTAGAGTCGCTTTAATTCTACAGTTATTTCCTTCAAACGAGTATTTTCAGCCATTGGGAGGACAATGAAAGCACCAAATGTTGCAATACTACAAGACCAATGTTCAATAAATTCACTCAATAAAGATAATATAGTCTATGATTTATTATTGAAAGTAAAGTTTACAACTAGTAATACATAATTATCGAAATAGAGAATCCAAGTCAGACATGACATTGGCCAAGAAAGAGAGAATAAACATAATTCAGAAAGAAAGTACAAAGATACAAGTTACACACCTCACAATACAGTTACTATGTATTATATATAAAATACATATTAGAGTTACTAATCATTAACCATTCTTATTTTTTTGTTTCATTGATCAGCAACTTCCATGTTTTGTGCCTCTCACACTTACTACGTCTTGGGTTAGATATGTTATTTTTGTCCCCACTTGCAGTTATCACAAAATCCACTTCAAGTAAACAGATCTGTGCTTATATATATATATATTTATATATATAATTGATGTAATATATATTTTAAAATATACTAAAATACAAATACTTTGATTACTTTCAAGTTGTTCAATTTTAACAAAATTTGATATAAACATATAAAGTGAGATAAACTTTCAATCTAACGGTTGGATTTACAAAATTCACATTTAATATAAATTTATTAAATAATATAATACTTAGTAAAAATTACACCAATATTATTATAACCATCCTCTCTCTCTCTCTCTCTTTTATATATATATATACTAATATATAAAGGGGATACCCTTTTCGGTAACCACTTTGGTCTCCACTTTTTTAGACCATTATACCCTTTTATTTTAGAAAATTAGAAAAAAAATATTTTTTAATCAAATTTAAAAACTTGAAACTAATGAATCTATATTAATATATAAAGGAGATACCACTTTCAATAACTAGTTTTGATTTTCATTTTTATATGGACCATTTTATTTTTTGTTTATTTTTCAATAACTATCTTTTTTATGAGTAACTTCTCTTTTTTTTCTTATTTATTTATTTTTTTTCTTTTAATATAATGCAGGCACGGATTGCCTTTTTCAATAATTATAATGGTTTCACATGTCACAAATGGACCATGGTTTCTCGACATTACATTTTAAGCGTTCTTATGTCTGGGTTCTCTTTTGTTGTTCTCTTTCGTCTGCTTCTTCTCCCTTCGATGATCAAAAGGCGGCACAGAAACAACACCAGAACAACGCAAAGAGGATGAAGAACACGCACAGGTGCAAGTAGAACTTTTCATAAATGGATTGATTTTGCTTATCAGATACAATACAGGCACAAAGTGCCTTTTCCTGCTAGTATATATAAGGAGGGTTCAAACGATACCAATGTAACTTTTATTAAGTGTTACACCACTCAATAACTTTATATTAAATAAAAATTTTGTAAATCTAACCGTTAGATTGAAAGTTCATATCACTTTATATGTGTATATCAAATTTTGTTAAAATTGAACAATTTAAAGGTGATCAAAGTGTTCATATTTTAGTATATTTTGAAATGAATATATTACGTCGATTTTGTTTTATAAGAATGAAGTATCAAATCATCTTGGATTAATATAAAATTTTGTATATATGATCTAAGTGATATGAACTTTCAATCTAACGGTTGGATTTGCAAAATTCACATTTAATATAAAGTTATTGAGTGATGTAACACTTAGTAAAAGTTACACCGGTATCATTTGAACCCTCCTATATATATACTAGCAGGAAAAAGCCACTCCGTGCCTACATTGTATTAAAATAAACAAAGGATAAAATGATTAAAAAATAAACAACGGATAAAAAGATTAATGTAAAAATGGAAACCAAAAGTAGTTATTGAAAGTGATATCCCATTTATATATTAGTATAAAAGTATAGATTTATTAGTTTCAAGTTCTTAAATTTGATTAAAAAAATTTATATATTTTTTATAATAATAGGGTATAATGGTCAAGAAAAGTGGAGACCAAGGTGATTACCAAAACGGGTATCCCCTTTATATATACTAGCAGGAAAAAGGCACTTCGTGTCTGCATTGTATTAAAAATAAAAATACATAAATAAAAAATGAGAAGTTACTCATTTTTTATTTAAAATCCTTCTCGCGAAATAAATAATAGAAAATATCAATGGAATAAAAAACAAAAAAAAATGGAAGAATTACTTTAGTAGAAGTATAGGGAACCACAAAGTGTTGGATCTTAATTTTATTGCAAAATGTTGATACTCCAAATGCAAACAAAGCATTAAAAATAACCTAAAAACCAAAGTCAAAACTAAATTATTGTCATTTATTAAAAAAAAATACATTTTAATATATTGATTTATTCTTATTAAATAATAGCATTCTCATTTAATAAGGTAACTGTCTCAGACCATTATTTGATACATATTTCAATGGTTAAGTTATTCAAAGTGAAAGCAATGCCATTTGTACTGAAAGTACAACCACCCTTAGTTCTTCGCAATGCACTATCATATAGTTGTCAAAGAGGAAATACCTGTACTATCCGTACTGCAAAGCCGAGCTCCCAGCTCGGCATCACAGCGCATGGCGACCTCGGATACACGCTATGTGACGTCAGCTCGTCACTTAAACAGATTATAACTGATCTCGGGCCCAAGGCCCAACGAAACCCTAATTCACACTAAGGTACGTGCATTACTTATACGAGATTCCTACTCATACAAACCCTAACTTTGGCATCATAGTCTCTTTTGTAGGTACCACCCCCATCTTGAAGCACAAAACGTACCCGTGAAGGAGGCTCACAAATCTTACCCAGCGGATCATCTCTACCACAGATCTCCGGTAAGAACATTTGGCGCCCACCATGGGGCCGATCAAGACAGCTCTTATCGGCCACGCTTATGGTATTCACCAGAAGCCATAGTAGACGCGCAACAGACGACGCAAATCACACAACTACCATGGATAACGAAGCCATATTGAGGAGACTAATCGACCAGGTCGAACAGATGCGGCAACAACACGACGTCGATCTGCGAAACATGGGTGCCCATCACGAAGCTGACCTAGCAGCGATGAGGACCGCCAATGAAGCTGACCTAGCGGCACTACGTGCCGAAAATGAGCGAATTCTCGCTCACCTCCCTCGACGCCCCTCTGATCATCAGCCTCTGGCGAGCAACCTCCACAAGGAAGAAGGACATTTGGTCTCCCAACCCCGGACCGCAACTAGGGCACCGACCCCGCGACCTGCCACGCATCGGTCTCATGCACCGACGAACAAGTCGGCCCACGAAGTCAGCAAGGCCCGGACTCAGGCCACGGGGGGTCAAGCAACCTTCCGCCGTCATCCTTTCGTGGATGGCATCATGGAGACACCACTCCCTCAAGGATGGAAACCTCTCCACCTCGATCGCTATGACGGCACGACGGACACCAATGAGCACATCGACCTGTACACAACACAGGTAAACCTTTACACTAACAATGATGCTATTTTGTGTAGGGTTTTTCCAACCTCGCTCAAGGGGGCCGCGCTCAACTGGTACACCCAACTTCTCGCTGAGTCGATCGACAGTTTCAGCATTCTGGTCAGGCGATTCACGGCGCAATATGCAACGAGCCGGCCTCACCACATCACTTCAGCCGCCCTGGCCAGTCTCAGGCAGAACGATGACGAGCCACTCCGGGCGTTCATGGAGCGATTTGCTGCCACCTTGGTCAAGATCAGAAATCTGAACCCCGAGGTCGCCCTGCACGCCATGCTCATGGCACTCAAGCCCGGGCCCTTCGTCGACAGCCTATGTCATGAGGCTCCTCGCGACATGGAGGAACACTCCGCATTCTGTGACCAGGTTCGCGGAAAGGGACCAATGAAGCCAGAACAGGGTCACAAGGACAAGGTCAAAGTCAACAATGATAGCCAGTTCAAGAAGTCGGCTAGGGCAAACAGAGGGGGGAGATATGACTTCTATACTCCCCTGAACACGCCCCGAGTACATATCCTGGAGGAGGCCAGTAACAGCAACCTGCTCACCCTGCCACCGCCAGGTCACACCCCCAACAGTGCCGACAAATCCAAGCACTGTCGGTACCACAGGAATCACGGTCACACACTGAGGAGTGCCACACACTCCAAGACCGTATTGAAGAACTCATCCAGGCAGGCCACCTTGGCCAATATGTCCAGCGACAGCAGGGTCACCGAGGAGGCTATGGTGGATGAGGACGAGGCAGAGGTCGTGGTTCAGGAGCTCGCACGGACCAACCCTCTAGCTCTCAGCAAAATGTTGGCAGAGTAATGCAAGCTGAGGTAAGCTAAGAAACAGGATTGGCTCCCCTACGGGGAGTAATCAATACAATTACAGGTGGTTTTGCAGGGGGAGGTGCCACCGGCTCGGCCCGGAAGAGACATCTGCGCTATATCAACAGTGACCATTCTGCTACCTCGGCTTCGCACCAAAGTTCACCGCCGATCACCTTCACCGACAACGACTATGCTGACGTCAGTCCCAACCAGGATGATCCCATGGTCATAGCCGTGAAGGTAGCCAATTGGCAGGTGCACAAGACACTAATAGACCAGGAGAGCTCGGTAGATGTCTTGTATTGGCCGACCTTCCTCAGGTTAGACATCCCCCACTCTCTCATCCAACCTCACACAGAGCCCCTAGTCGGTTTTGCAGGAGAGCGAGTGCACACTTGGGGATACGTGGACTTGCTGACCACCTTCAGAACCTCTCTGGACACAAGGAGAATTATGGTCCGATACATCCTTGTGGAAGCCAACACCTCTTACAACATCATCATTGGGAGGCTGACGTTGAATCAGCTCGGAGCTGTGGTGTCCACTCCACACCTCACCATGAAGTTCCCGGGAAGTGACGGTAAAATCATCTCCGTCAAAGTAAATCAGAAGACAGCTCGGCAGTGCTACACCGAGAGTCTGAAGATCTCCTCGTCTGGCGAGCAAAGCAAGAAGGATCCCCCCACCGTGGCTCACATCACCCACGTGGAAATTGATGACCTCGATCCGAGATCCGACTCCCACGACGAGAGGCCAAGCCCCATTGACGAGCTTGACGACCTCCAGATCGGGAAACTTCCCGGGCAGTGCACAAAAAATAGCACGCAGTTGAGCCCGAATTTGCGACAGCAGCTCGAAGCTGAGATTCTTCAGAATGCCGACCTCTTTGCCTGGTCTAGCGCCGACATGCTAGGTATAGACGCTGACTTCATCTGTCACAGGTTAGCGATACACAAGGAGGCAAGGCCAGTGGCCCAGAGGAAGAGGAAGGTCGGCGGTGAAAGGCGGGAGGTCATCATCACCGAGACACAGAAGTTGTTGAATGCTG